AGAGAACATAGAAAAGATAAAAGACAAGAAGCATTAGGGATCAATAGAGCAGGGCTGAGCCATCAGCAGGCTGGCTCAGGGACCTCAGCTGCATCCACACCCAAGCAGGCTCCTGAGGGATGCTCTGGGGCTGGGCTGGGCAGAGCTGGCTGCAGAGCTCTTGTGAGGGGAGATGTGCACCTCACTGACCCCAGCACATGCACACATCACCTCTGAGCTGCTCCAGCCTTCCCTGCACATCCCAGCATGTTCCCTTCTCTGTCACAGCTGATCCTGGAAGGGACTTTTGGGGTTAACATTGTGTGTGTTCACCAGTGGAATAAGCTGGAAATGGAACAATTGGATGTTTCTCTGTGCCAGGCAGGAATGAGGCACGTTTGACACTCAGGCTCCTCAGGCTGGATCATTTTACTTCAGTCACAGTTTCTTTTCTGGTGTGTTTTTCCCTCTGAATGACCCAATTGCCTGCAATGACATCCAATCACTGCTTCCTTCACTGCAATCTCATGGGCTCTGAGGGTCACTTCTTTCCTATTCCTTATGTCAGCTGAGATCTGATGTGTGTTAAACTCTGAAATGTTCTCCCAATCCCCTGGGCTGGTGCTGGGCTGCTGAGGATGAGGGGTGATCTGCTCTGATCCCCCCTTTGTTTGTGCAGTGAGGCATTTCTTAGACTCACTGATCCTAAAGGTCATTTCCACCCTAAAGAATTCTGTGATTCTGTGATTTCCCCATAGCTCAGCCCTTGGTTGTTTAGGGCTAAGCCTCAGCTTTGCTCAGTGGCCCCATAAAGTCACTTAAATCTGTCGAGGCTGGCAGCACAAGCTGGGGACAGTGTCATGGAGAGGGCTGGGACAGACACGATCCTGTCCCTCAAGTTGTTGTGGCACTGAGGTCACCAGAGTTCCCTTTGCAGCCAAGGGGAATTTTAGGGCTGTCCTGGGCACTGCAGGCTCCTGGTTCCCTCTGTGCCACACAATAAAAATGCTGCACTTGAAGGTTTGGATCAATCCAAGTTTAAATCTCTCCCAGATCCTAAGCAGGGAAAGGGACCCTGGGCCATGAGGGGATCCCTGGAGCACGGGCAGGGAGCTGTAGGACTATCCCAGAGATGGCAGAGTGCTTTGTCAGGCTGCAGAAATGCTGCTGGAAGCTCCCTGCAGAACCCCAGAGTGCAGGATGCTCCTCTGGGCTGGCACCTCTGCCCACAGCCCTGGCTGGGTCCCAGCTGTGTCCCAGGGATGTTGGTGGCTTCATCAGCGACAGGGACAGTGCTCTGGGGCACAGGATTTCCAGGCAGGGACAGGAAGAGGTACAGGACAATTTGTTTGTGTTTGGTAGAGCTGCAAGGGGAGGGACTGGCTGGAGCTGCCATGGTGACCTTGCTGATGCCAGTGAGTTTGTCCCCTGTGCCAGGGTCAGGATCCATCCCCTAAACACCAGAAGCCTGAAAGTTTAAATACAGGACAAGAAAGAAAAAGCTGCATGTTGGATCCCAGAAACCTGAGGGTTTTGAGCTTTCTGTGCTTCCTGGCACTGACCCCCTGGAGAACACTGCTTTGGACATGAGGCCTTGGAGAAGGCTCCAAATTTGAGTGATGGAGTTAAAGTCACGGGTGTGTAGTTAAATAGAAGTGTGTGATTTGACTTGGTGAAGGGTTTTGAATTTAAGGGTTTTATAATATAGTAAAAAGTATGGGAAAAAATGGAAGATTTGGGGTGTTGTTTCTTTCTGTCTTCTTCCTCCTTCTCCATGGTTTCAGGCAGTAGTTTCTGGTTGCACACTCAGTGCTGCACTGCAGGTCACAGGAGTTTGGTTATTGGGTCAAAAGTATAAATAATATAGGTGTTAATTCTCTATTGGACTGTTTAGCTTTAAGAGACCTTGTAGCAGCTGGATTCATCTCCATTTTGCTGGCTTTTAGCTGGTAGCTGGAAGTGTTGCAGAACTCTCTGTACTTTAGATAAAATTTAATAAACAACCAAGCCCAAACATGAGAAAATTCATCTCCTTCATATTTTTAATCCTAAGTAAAAGGATTACTCCTTTTTTACTTTTTTGTTTTATTCTGAGTAAAAACAAAAGAAATTACAAACAAACCACTAATGAAGTGGTACAAATACCATATTTACAGCTGTTTTCCTTGGTGTTTTTTTCTGTTTGATTCTGTGCTGCTCCAAATCCCTGCTTTCCTTTGTTTTGCATCCCCCTGGCAGTGAGCTCAGCAAGAGGAGGTGTCACAGGGACAGTCCCAGCAGCAGAACTCCTGGCTAAATCCCTCCATCCTCATCCCATACCTGCTTGGAATGCCAGGAAATAACCACACTCAGCACCCAGGGCAGTGCCACTTCCCTGTCACTGTCCCCCCAGGTCCTGCCACTGTTGTTTGCACACCTTGTTGATTCTGGAGATCTCCCCTCTGGCTGCTCTGCTCTCCAGGCAGTGATTTGTGTGTCCAGCAGGCTCGTGCTGTGCTCAGTGTCGGGCTTGGTGTGATTTGAGATCCTCACAGGCACTTCCCACCCTGATTTGTGTATGCTAGGGCTTGTAAATTCAGTGCTGCCTGGAGGTTTGGAGATAAAAAAGGTCTTTTATGCCCTGCTGTTAGACATGGTCGGGTGTAGATTGCTGCTGCAGGTGGTGGTGGAAGGGATGTGATGCCACTAGAAAGCAAGAACTGGTGGATAAATGTGATTTCCAGGTAATCTGTTGCTCTCTAAAATGGAAATATTGTGGGTTTGCTCAATGTGGGCTCTACACAGCCTGGCTGAGTTGATGGGAAGGTTCCTGCTGGCTTCCCAGGAGTGCATCCTTCTGTGGGGTTCACTGAGTTTGTTACCAGAATTGAGCTGGTTCTGAGGTCACGTTTGGATGAGAGACAAGGCAGAAATTCCTCCCTGTGAGGGTGGGCAGGCCCTGGCACAGGGTGCCCAGAGCAGCTGTGGATGCCCCTGGATCCCTGGCAGTGCCCAAGGCCAGGTTGGACATTGGGGCTTGGAGCAGCCTGGGACAGTGGGAGGGGTCCCTGCCATGGCAGGGGTGGCACTGGATGAGGTTTAAGGTCCCTTTTAACCCAAACCAAGCTGTAATTTTGCCAGACATTTCATTTTTACCTCCTCGTATTTATGGCACCAAATCAGAATTTTGGACTCTTTTAATAACAACTAAAATAAATAATTAATGTTTTACACTTCCCTTAAATTTTGATCAAAGGGCAAACAAAGCCAGGCAAAACCAAGAAAGTTTCTCTGAGGCCCAGGAACTTTTGCCAGCTCCAGAAACAGGGACCAAGGTCCTGAGATGAAGGTCCCAGAGGAGCTCCAGCCCTGCTGGTGCTGGTTCAGGTGCTGCTGTTCTGCTCCCTCAGCAGGCACAATTCCAGCAGGAGCCAGCCTGGATCTCTGCAGTCAGTCAATAACTAAATATTCATAGTCTTGGCCTTGGCCTTCTTGATATTTATTCATTCATGAAACTTCTGACAATGTGTTCTTCGGGCATGTTTTAAAATCTGCTGCCTCCGAGGAAGTTGTGAGAGTGGAGAAGTGGGGGTTGGCAGAGGGCTGCAGAGGAGGGAGGTGAGTCAGCCTTGTTTGCTTTCAGCTTCTGTCCTTCCTCCCTCCTTCATCACGTTCCCAGCGGTGCCCGGCACCAGCTCAGCTCCTGATGCTGTTCCTGCCTCTGCTGGCCCTGATTTCTTCCTTGCTCATTTTTCCTGGTGCTGTATTTTGGCAGGACTGGGGTTCTTTTTCCTCCTTAAGCCGTTTTTGTTTTCTCTCCTTGACCTTTAAAGCAGAAATAGCAGATTCCGGGGAGCTTGCTTTGAGCAAACAACTCAATATTGAGTTCCCAGAACGAGGGCTGGGGTGAAAAGGGCTGCCACCAGCCATATTTATCCAGATATGAGAGGAGAGGGAAAGGGAGACTGTAAATAGGAAGAACTGAATGATTTTACGTCAGCAGTGGCTGTCATAGAACAAAGAGTAATTTAAGCTGAAAAAGATCTCTAAGATCATTGTGTCCAACCATTCCTCCAACACTGCCCCAAGTCCCCAAGTGCCACATCCACATCTGTAGGGTTTAAATCCCTCCAACTGTGGTGAGCTGCTCTTCCATGGGCAGCCTCTTCCAGAGCTGGAAAACTCTTTCCATGGGGAAATTCCTGCTGGTGCCCACCCTGCCCTCCCCTGCCCAGCCTGAGGCCGTTCCCTCTCCTCCTGTCCCTGTTCCCTGGAGCAGATCCCAAATCCCCCCGGCTGTCCCCTCCTGTCAGGGAGTTGTGCAGAGCCACAAGGGCCCCCCTGAGCCTCCTTTTCTCCAGGCTGAGCCCCTTCCCAGCTCCCTCAGCCTCTCCTGGGGCTCCAGACCCTTCCCAGCTCTGTTCCCTGCCCTGGACACAATTTGGTGCCATCTGTGAACTCCCTGGGGGTGCCCTCATCTCAAAGCCACCCCTTGAAAGTTGCATTGAGCTTTGAGGTCTGGACACAGACGAACATCCTGGAAAAGAGAAGATGAAGTAAAAAGCCCTCAGAGTTTGGGAATGAGCTGCAAAATGAGAAAGTCACTCAAGAGGTTCATGGTTGTGGTGCCCAAGATGTTTCTCCTGGTCCTTCCAATGGTATCATCTTGATGGGGACAGAAATCTCCTCTCCTGGGGGGGCCACCAAAAGCCTCCCCCCATCAGTGCCACATCAGAGCCCCTCCCCTCCCTGGGCTTTCCTCTCCCCTCTGTGTCTGAGCTTTGGGCTGCAGTGTTTGGGCAAAGGACCCGATTTCAGACAGCCACGGCCCCCTCATTCCCTGTCCTGCTCCCACATCTGTCCTGGATCCTTCCCAGGCTCTGCGGGACTTGGATCATCTGCTCTGAGCGCTCCCTTATTCACTGCAAGCCTTCATTTGGTCAGTTCCAAATGGATCCATACATTTTCCTGCCCATATTTTTAATTTCTTAAGGGCTTTTGGTAATTATTTTTTGCTGGAGAGAGGCTCCTTCTACTCTAGTGGTATCTCCAGTGTCCTTTAGCCTCTCTGCTGGCACTTTAGTGGCATTAAACAGGACTGGTGCCAGTGCCAACCCGTTTGGCATTCCCTGGGCATATCCCCAGCTCAGTTTTTCATTTAACCTTAACTCACGTTTAAAATCTCTTGCCTATTTTTCTGTCTGTGTGATTGGATTTCTTCCAGAGCCAATTCTGATTATTTATAAGAGACTTTAGGTGCTCAGAACCCTTGTGTGAAGCCCATTAGGTTTCTCTTGATTGTACCTCCCCTTGCTCACTGTCTCCAGGAGGAGAAGGAGCCAGGGCTGTCATCGAGGTGTTATTTCCCAGCTCTCTTCTTGTCATGGTCTGTCACCTTCTGTGTGTCGTGTTCAGCCCCTGCATTTCAGGCTACAGCTTTCCCTAGGAAGTGAGAGTAATCCTCATTTTCAGAGGTGTTCAAGCATTCAGCACATCCTGGGTATCCACCCACCATTAGCTGAGCACAACTGAAAAGTAGTTCCTGAAATATCCAGGGCAATAATTTTCCTGTGTTTTATTATAACTTTTTTTTTTTTTTTTATGTCTTATTATTACTTCTATTATTCTGTGCCAGTTTGGAGCTGTGAATACAGCAAATCATTTCTCAGGGTCAGCTTTTGTTTTAGTAGATGCTTCTTTTTCATGTCTGCATTTTGGTTTTGGTTACTTTCCCACTTGTCCTTGACTTTGGGGAGATAAATATCATTATTATCTATGTTAACTAGCAAAAAATTCAGAGCCCCTGATGTTTTGAGAGTGTACCAGGCTCCTCTTGGTTCACTCTTTAAAGGAGAAATTAAAGAAAGATTATTAAACCTATGCAACTGTTCTGAATCAAAAAATCATGAAAATTTAATCCCTGGTATGGAAAACCATTACGGATTCATAATTGCAATAATCAAATTTGGATTTTTATTGTTTTGGTGCTGCAGTGGACTTTGTGCTCCTTGTCTGAGCAGCGGGCACTGCCTGATGGATCAGCAAGACCTGGGAGATGATATTTGTGCACCTGAGTGGGTGTTTCTCTTGGCACTTCAGTCCTGGCATAATTCCCCTCCCCTGTTACGTTGGTAGTCAGCAATTTTCTGTCAGTGGATTTAAAGCTGACAGCTCAAAGGGAACCTGAGATATTTGTGGAGCCCCGTGGTTTGGAACGTGGTCATTTGTGTCATTTGCTTTCCCCTGGGATCCCTCTCTTCACACTTCTGGGATATTTTAGGTCACTTCCAACACAAACCATTGAACTTTTCAGTGAAAAATGAGGCAAATCCACTCAGGGTCCCTGGATGGAGCTGAACAGGGAGCTGAGCTCTGCTGCATCTGGACTCAGTGATCTTTTCCAACCCAAATGATTCCATCTTACTCCAGGCCCTTTCTCCTTCCATCCTCCCTGAGCCTCCTCTGTCCTTTGAGCAGAGGGAAGGGCAAACAGGAGCCCTGCTCTGGCTTCTCATCATTGCCAGCATTATTTTGTACAGCTCCATCCAGTCCCCCCACATGATCTCCTCTCTAAATTTAACAGACCTAATCTCTTCCATCTGTCCTTCCACAGGCACCTTCATCTGCCACTGATCATTTTTGTTTCACTTCTCTGGAACTTTTCTCTCCCTGTGTCTCCTTGCTGGCCAGGCAGAGAAGAAAATCCATACTGTGATTTGGTAGAGCTGAGATGGGGCTGTGGTTCAGCAAAGATAGGAAAAGGCAGTTTCAAAAATGTGGTTTATCAGGAACAGGGTGAAATTATCAGGAATTTATCAGGGTTTTTCAGGAATATGGGAGTGAGGGGAGCAGCCCTGGATGCCCTGGGAGCACCGAGGAAGAGGAGCAGGGATGAAGGAAGGGTGAAACACCAGGGGGGTCCTGTGTCTCAAACAAGAGGCTGTCAGGGAAGCTCCTGGTTCCAGCCAAGGCCTTGCCCACAAAATGAAATCTCTTAGGAGCAGGAGGAGAGGAGAGGAGAGGAGAGGAGAGGAGAGGAGGAATGCAGCTGTGCCAGATGCTGCAGTTCACAGGGGTTTGGAGGCTGTGGTCAGACCCTCCCTGCTGCATGCAGAGATCTGAGGTTTGGGGCTTCCACAGATGGTTCCTGGTGTCCCAGAGCAGCAGCAGGGGCTGGGGCTGGAGGCCTTGATGTTCTTTGGGGTTGGTCTGGTTGATGGAGGAGGCTGGGCAGATCAGTCTGAGCTGGGATTCTGAACAGCCCCTCCAGGCTCCACACACTGCTCCTCCCTGGCTGCCAGCTTGAGGGATTGGTCTCGATCCAGCAGCATTTTCCCTGGTCCCTCCAAGTGCTGTGTCCTTCATTTGAAGCTGCCTTAGACTGGGCAGCACCTCCCTGCTGGCACAAGAAAAGTGTGATTCCCAACAGGAAAGCTCCAAGGACTTGCCAGGCTCAGTCCATCCTGATTCCACAGGTGGGAGACCAGATCCTGGAGGTGAACGGGAGGAGCTTCCTGAGCATCCCCCACGACGAGGCGGTGAAGCTGCTCAAGTCCTCTCGTCACCTCATCATGACAGTGAAGGACATCGGGCGCCTGCCCCACGCCCGCACCACCGTGGACGAGACCCGCTGGATCAGCAGCTCCCAGCTCGGGGAGACCCTGCTCAGCTCTGCAGGGTACGTGCCCACGGAGATTTTGGGGGGTTCTGTCAGCTCAGAGCCCCTGGGAGGGTGGGGACTGTCCATGGAGAGCCCCGTTCTGGGGTCTGGCTCCTGGATCAGGGAAGCATCTCTGGTCTGTAGGGTGAGCAGGTGTGGACAGTGGTGTGCTGTCCCTCCCCCTTCTCCCC